GGTTAGGTCCTCAACTTGTTCTTTGTTTTTTCCTTATACTTTGCTTCCTAGGGGGTTAGATCTAGTGTTCGTAGGAAAGTCACTTTGATCCGAGAAACCGCCCTTAGGAATAGGTTTAGGTGTTATGCCGTTCCCTAACGGCCGTAGCGTCCCCTCCTCTGTTGATTTGACAGCTTCTTTAGACGAATTGGATTGGCCTTTCGACGAGGAAGACACATCGCCTCGGATCAATCTTCAACTTGTCGATGAGCTCGCTGCTGAGATGGAGAATACCGCAGACTACCGTACTTCGGTAGACGAGGAGAGAATGAGTGAGGATGCGGGAGCGCAGAACTCTGGTGAGGACGAAGCGACGTCTAATTCGCCGTTGAGGGGGGATGTTGCATCTTCTTCGGCCCCCATCCCATGTCCTCTGCCGATATCATCCGTAGCTGGGGAAGGCGCCTCGGCTCATGGAGCGAAGAAGCCGTACCGGCGGAAGAAACGTAGAGGGGTGCCGCAGGGGCATTCGCAGTTGGACCTGACTAACCTCTACATCATTCGGCCGGAGGGGTCCCTTGGTGATTATCACGTTGCGCAGCTGTACGTCGGTCCCTACGGCCGTGTCCGAGCCCCCCTGCCGTCAGACCATGTTCTAAACCCGCCCTTAGGATATTTTGGGGTATACCCGATGAGCTTTGCCAAGGGTTTGAGGTTCCCTCTTCATCCTTTTATCAAGGAGTATCTGGATATGGTTGAGCTCCCTCCGGCCTTATTGACTCCTAACAGCTTTTCGCTCATCATCGGCTTCTTGATCCGGTGTAAAGAGTTGGAGATTTCGCCGACGACTGCCCTTTTTATGAATTTGTTCCGGATAGGCCGAGGGAGTCATCATCAAAATTGTGCCGGGTATGCGACCCTACAGCAGATCAGTGGGAGGAGGACGTTCACGGACCTCCCTACGTCCATCCATGGTTGGAAAGCCAAGTTTGTGTTCGTCACTTTGGGCCAGGGTGGCTTCTTTCCTTCCAACGGCCATAGCGGCCTCTTTCAGTTGCATTCTCCCCCATGGAGTGTGAAATAAGCAACCAGGTAGAGGCTTTTATTAAGGGGGGGCCGAGGAGTATCAAGACGTATGTTACTGAGTACAGGATGGCCGCCCTCGACTTTGTGAGGTACTATTGTCCTGGCGACGTTGATGACGATCTTTGGCCGAAGATGGTGGGATCTTACGAGCAAGCCGACGGACCCCGTCTTGGTGTGCCAGCCGAGGCCAAAGGTTGACCCCCTTACTTTATCTCTATGAATTTCTTGTTGTGTTTTGCTGACCCTTGTATTTTTGTGCAGGCTTTGTCATGGATCCGATGTCCTTTATGGCTAGGGCCGCTAGGAAGGCCGATGCGGAGCTGAAAGCCGCTCAGGCTGCTGAGGAAGCGAAGAAGACCGCTAGTGGTACTCATGGTGGTGCTGAGGCCGTTAAGAAGCATGCACCCAAGAAGAAGAGCAAGAGGGGCGCGGATGAGGGCCAAAAGACTCTGGCCGAAGCTGGCATGAATGTGGGGCAAGCCCCAAAGAAGGTGAAGAAGAATGATGGGGCCGGTGCTTCCTCTGTCCCAATTGCTGATGCTGCTCCAGCCAAGACCCTTCCCTTGGATGAGGGGCCCTCTTCGGCCATGATCGCCATGGCTTCCCGCGTGGTTCCCTCTACGGCCGCTGCTGCCCGTCTAGAGGAGGCCCTTGCCAAAGGGACGTACGAGGTCACCGTACGTTACCCCGTTAAAGGCGGTCTCTTTAATGAAACCGTCAGTGGCGACGACGTGCTTGCTCAGGCTATGCCTGAGTATGACTGGCAGTACCTCAGCCGGCAGGGCAAACACGTCCACTTGTACGATGGAGGTTTGGACTATGTCGTCCAGGTAATAATCTTCCCTGTAGTTGTGATCTTCCTCTGGTTAGATTTTTATTGCTATTCTTGAGTTTTGATTTCGTATCGTCCAGGGTGCCCTTATGCTGAGGGAGCAGCATTGGAGGCAGGAGGCCGAGATTGAACGGCTTAAGAAAGTGGAGGCTAAGGCTCTCTCAGCCGATGAGGCCCTCCAAGATTTGAGGGACAAAGCCCAGGCCGCGGAGGACGAAATGAAGCTTCTTCAGATCCGGCTTGATGAAGCCGAGGCGGCCCGGAAGAAAGCTGATGAGGCCATTGCTGCTGCCATCCGAAGAGCCGAGGAGGCGGAGCGGCTCAAAGTTGATGCTGAGAAGGCCGCTGAGAAGGCCGTTAGGGATTTTAAGGCCGAGGGGTGGAAGGCCGAGGATCAGCTCCCCTTCTGCTTTAAGGTGGTTGCTGAGAGGCTAACCGACTGGACGACGAAAGACCCCGTCGGCGAGGACTTCTGGATGAGCGAGATGCAAGCCTTCTATAACTGCGGTCAGTATCAGATGCAGAAGCTGATTTACAGGAAGCTTCGTCGTCGCTTCCGGAAGATGAGGCCGAGAGGTTTGAGTCTTCCTCGGCGGATGAAGAATCCTGACGAGGAGATGAAGCTCCCCCCGTCGGAGAGGCAGCCTCCAATCCTCAGTTCGGACGAGGGGGAAGAGCCGTGGAGTGATAGTGACGATTACTTGCTCGAGGGGCCTGCCGATTCCAAGGCCGATGAGGATGGTGGTGGTGATGACGATGCCGGTAGCGGCAACGGGGATGATGTTGTTGCTGGTGGGGTGCCAGCTGATGTGGTAGCTTAGTGTTCCTTTGTATTTTTAGCTTTTGTAACTATAGCACTGAAGTGCATGTAATGGCCGAAGCGCCCACCTTTTGTGTCTTTTGCATCCTTTAATGACAACTCTTTTCCTCATCATGGTTATCTCCTCGTTCTTCGTAGTTTAATTATGCTTGCTCCTGTAAATTTCCCTAAGTATCGAGATTTGATCTTGGAGGATGCCGGCGTCCATTCCTTGAGACGTAGCGGTCCTCTTTTCATTTGTTGTCACCGGAGACGATGCACTCCATCATTAGTGAGCTTTGTTGTGTTTGAAATTCCCAAATGCCAGGGGAATGATCTTGAAGTGTTGAAGACGAAGCGATGCCCAGTGGTAGCGCATTATCTTCACGTCTGTGTGACTTTTTAGAAAATTCTAAGTGTCAGCTTGCCTAGATGTAGGTGTCTTGCCCCGGTTTATCACTTGGTTCTTGCCACTTGTAGACGATGCGACATATCGTCTGAGTGTGGTCTCGTATGGTTGAGCCGAAGTGATTCAATCTTATGGCGTCATGGCTGAGATCGAAGTGCATACTTCGCTGTTCCTGTTTGATGAAATCTGGTATGTACTTGGCCAATTTTGAGGCTTTGGTCTGCGGGGATTTTATTTTATGCTCGAGGCCGGCGAGTGCGCGGTCCGTCGGCTTCCCTCTTTTATTTTTTTTTAAATTTTTTTTTTAGAAGCGGCCGGAGGGTTACTGTCCCTTCGTCCGTGTGCGGTAGTTTGTCCGCTACGCTTTGCGCGTGAATTAGTGCGAGGGAGTAAATACGCCCTCGGCTTGGTATGTCAGTGGCATCTTTTTTGGCCTTTCCGCGTCTATCGTCGACGAGGGACCGGACTAGGCATCATCTTGTGACGGCCGCCCTTTGTGGTCGTGAACGAAATTTTACTGATGGGTGGAGTTTTTGTAACCTCGGCCTTAATTCAGGCTTGTCGTCCTGCGGTTTCCGTGCGAACGACGCGGTATGCTTCTCCGTTTGAAGACGTCGGACCATACACACAGGTCCTTCGTCCTGCATATCGCCGGCCGATTTGGGTGTTTCACCGCTTGTGCCGATACGATATTTGGGTGCGTTGTCTATGCAACGGCTTTGTAGGCGCGTTGTGGATCGCAACGGCCTTGGGTGCGTTGTTTATTGCAACGGCTTTGGGTGCGTTGTTTATTGCAACGGCTTTGGGTGCGTTGTTTATTGCAACGGCTTTTAGGTGCGTCGTTTATTGCGACGGCTTTGGGTCGCATCGGTCCCGGGTGTTTGCACCGCTTAGGCCGATGCGGTCCTTAGGTTTCCATTTGCTCAAATCTTAAAAGATTGGATGAAACATGAGTTTTATTTAATAAGTGGCGCTAGGCCGAGGGTGTTTTATTCAATCAATACGCCGAGGGGTGGGGGACGTTGCCCGCTTCACCACTTCTCGAGTTATTGGTAAAATTTCACCAAATGGTGTACATTCCACAATCGTGGCACATCTGACCCATTGGGATTCTTTAGTCTATAGGTGCCGGCTTTGATGACGGCGCTGATGATGTAGGGCCCTTCAAATTTGACGGCGAGCTTTCCTCCTTCCGTTGGTTTGCTTGCTTCCCTTCGGCGGAGGACGTAGTCCCCCACTTGGAATTCGCGAGAGCGGACCTTGGCGTCGTAGTAGGATTTGACTTGTCGTCTGTAGTTCTCCGCTCTGAGGTAGGCCATTTCCCGTCTCTCGTCGATGAGGTGCAGGTCCTCCTTCATGGTTTCTTCGTTGGCCTCGGGGTATTGTGTGACCCGTCGGCTGGGAAGCGTCACCTCAGTGGGAGCCTTGGCTTCAAAGCCGTAGCACAAGGAAAATGGGGTCTCCCCCGTGGCCCTCCTCGGCGTAGTTCGGTAGGACCATAGTACGTTGGGGAGCTCATCGACCCAACTTCCGCCTTCTTCTTCAAGCTTCTTCTTTAGTCCCTCCAAGATAGTTCTATTGGCGTTCTCAACCTGCCCGTTGGCCTGAGGGTAGGCAACGGAGGAGAAGCGATGCTTGATACCCCATTCTTGGAGGAGGCTTTGGAACGGTTCGGCCTCAAATTGGGTGCCGTTGTCTGATATGATCTCCTGAGGCACGCCGAAGCGGGTGAGGATGTTCTTGTAGACGAACTTTCGACACCGCGCTCCAGTGATGCTTGCGAGTGGTTCGGCCTCCACCCATTTGGTGAAGTTGTAACACCCCCATTTTCCCACCAAAATAAAATAACATTTTGAAATGAAAACATCTTTATTATAAAACATATTTAGAGTACAGCGGAAGTCTTTAATGGAAAAACAGGTGTGTCACCGCCACACTCAACCTATACATGATTGAGTGCACAGGCTATCCACCATAAATTCAAGTAGCCATCGGATAAAACTTAAAACAAGTTTATGGATTACAATTTTAACAACAATAATTAATCAAACGTGTGCAACTAGCGGAACACTCGGGCAGCAAGTACATCAATCTTCATAATCATAATCATCTGTACAATAGAGCAAAGAGAAAAAAAAAAGAAAAGAGACAAAAATTAGCTTTAGAGCTAAGTAAGATTCCACCCGAACCCGTAAAATAATATAATTTGGAAAATAGGTTTTTATATATGTATATATATCGAAAAGTAGTCTCTCATATTTCCAAAATGGTTTAATGTCATAAAATAATTTCCACAATAGATAAGATCATCCTTCAATTCCTCCAAAAGTAATACTTTAGATTCTTTTAAGAGTGGGCGAAACTCAAGATTCCTCGAGCCCAATGAGTCGTTGTTATCTACGAATCATCCCGGAATTCCGGCTCCCACCGACCACCAATTGGAAGCTGAATTTCTACCTTAAGTGTGCACACCCTCTAAAAGGGATTCCAAGCCCTCCGAGTAGTAAGAAACCCAAGTAGGCAGGATGTTTTCTACCACCTACTCACAAGGGACATTGTCCAAGGGTAAATTAGGTAACTACTACTACGACCACCAAAGGATCTTTGATCCTCAAATAAAAGCCCGGGATGTCTACCGGAGTATGTCATTGCCGGGCTGGTTACCGACCCAAATAAATTTCACCAAAAGTAGTAGTAGCCCTAACCACCCACGCCTCGTGTTTCTCTCGAGACGTAAGAATATATATTATGAAAACTTTAAGTTTTCCCCAAATCATTCTTGTCACATTTTCTCAAAATATCCTTTGTAATAAATATAAATCCACCAATATTCTTTAATACAAAGAATATACATTTAATCATCCATAAAAGGTAATAATCCACCAATATTCATAACGTAATAATATCGGATCCATGTCAAACATATAATTTCCAATTCATAATTAATTCACATAGTGCAAATATTACATACATATAAGTATGAGGCAAAACATTTTGGTTGACATAGAACTTACCTTAAATTGCGATAATCTCCTTAATAAAATCTCTAGCTTGGTCTTCACTTGAGTTCTCCTTCTAATATTGATCAACATTCTAAATTAATAACTATTCTATTATTTTGTTATTTGTTATATATCCAACCTTTTAATTATTTTAATTTCATAATTTTTTTTTAAATATAACTATTAAATTAAATTCATAAACCTTACTAAATGTTAATTTCCAGTCCAGCCTTATTATTTCTTTAACTATACTAACCCCTTAATAATTTTATTTAATTTATTTGGTTAATTAGTTAACTAGTCTAATTAGTTTAATTATATAATAATTTCATTATTTCGAATTAACTAACTAACATTATTCCAAATTTCAGTTTACATGATTTAAGTAATTTATTTATAAAACCTTCAAATAAAAACTTTGCGTAAGCAATAATTAAAAATAGTAATCATTAATGATAATCTAATTTCAATAACCACTTTAATTATTTCAATGTTTTATTTATACTAACTAGTTCAATTATATTAACTAATTCAATAATACTGATATGTCAAATCCTATGACTCTATTTATTCGAATAATTAATTAAGCTAACTTAATTAACTAAGTTGGGTTAATTATATTAATTAATATAGTTAAGTATATTAATCTAAATCATTAAAGGCCAATAACCAAAACCTACTTTCATTTTAACTTGTCTAATAAGTCCAACCATATTAGATATTACCAAGTCCGTATTTTAGCTAATTTAGTCATTAAACTGAGCAATAAACTTGTTTAATTATTACTACCATATTACTTAATTAACTTATATATACTAATCCACTACATTTGTAAGTTTAAATATTTTAGTAATTCATGTTAAGTCTGAATTATAATCATCAAGCATAATAACTATATTAATTTCATTAAACTAGTTTAATCGTTTATTAATTCAATAATGCTATTTATTAAGTCCAAATATAGCCAGTAGTGTATTTATATCCGTTTACTTGTTTAATGTGCCCCATTAGTCCATTTAGTTAGCCAATCTGATCTATTTAATTAACCAATTAATATAATCAACTAAATTCCATATTTTATATAATTGACTACTTTTTAATTTAATGTCTCATTTAAATTGAGTAGTTAACATATTCAGTCCAAATATAGGTGTACACTATGCGGCCCAATTTTAGATTGGATCAAAGAATCGGAAATCTTCATGTGTCGTCTTCTTCAACTATACGCCGGAAAAGCAAAGTTATGGTGATATACCTTTCTGAAGACCGACGAGTGGAACGGCTGCGGTAGTGGAATCTTTCTTAGACGGCAAAGGTCAGCAGTGGACTTGTGGTCTTGCGACGGCAGTAGCTCCTTCTTCCTCCGTTTTTTTTTTGTAACGGTCAATGTTTCACACCTGTCAACGCACGTCTTTGACCGTAATTATATCTTAATCTGTATTAGTAAAAAAAACATATTTGAAAATGAAATAATTACAAAAATATGACCAAAATAAAGATGGTTTACAAAAATATGATTCATTACTAGAGTAGTAATGAAATCATAGTAATTTATGTTCAAGTTTTGAACTTTAGTTACCACAACACTACGTTGTAGTAATGAATAGTCATATTTATGTAAATAAGTTTTATTTTAGTAATATTCTCGTAAAAAACCCTTTGAAAATTAGATTTTGAAAATTTGTAATGAGATGAATTGAACAATATTTTTTTTTTTAAAAAAATAATTTTCATAAAATAAAAATGTAGTCAAAGTAGAACATGTGAATAGTGAAAAATTCAACATGCTGCGATTAAAAAGAGATGAAGGATAGTACATTTTTGTATCCATTATTAGTTCGTACTTTTGAACTAACATTATAATATTCTAATATTTATTTTTGTTTACTTGTCAGATATATTTTATCTGGTTTATTTTTATTTTATTTTTGTTTAAATTTTTCAGGGTATTACATTTTCAGGGTATTACATTCTACCCCCCTTAAAGAATGTTTCGTCCTCGAAGCATAAACTAACTAAAGCGAAAATTAAAATGAAGTATTGCAAATATATAGGGTATTATAATCTACCCCCCTAAAAGAGGGGTTTACGTCCTCGTAACTCAATATTTTACCTTAGTTGAACAGTTCAGGATACCGTTTACGCATATCCTCTTCTGTCTCCCATGTTGCATTTTCAGTCAAATGGTTTGACCAAAGTACTTTTACCATCTTAACGGTCTTCTTCCTCGTCTCTCGGGTCTTAGTATCGAGGATCTCTATAGGTTTTTCTTCGTAGGATAACGTCTCATCTATTTCAATCACCTAAAGATATACTCCCTCCGTCCCCTTTTAAATGGGACGAGAGATGGTGGCACGGGTTTTAAGAAAAGTGAGTTTGTGTGGTTGATATTAATTGATAAAGTAAGAATAAAGTAAGAATGATTTTGAGCCACACAAAGTTTACCAAATAAGGTATGAGACAATTAAATAGGGACATCCCAATATGGTAAAACGGGACATTTAAAAGGGGACGGAGGGAGTAAGGGTTAACTTATATTATTTTCACTTTAATTTTGGCTCATGTTAAATTTGGGGTTTCTTACCTCCGGGTTGATGATATGTGACTCATCTCGAACGTACTTCTTTAATTGTGATATGTGAAAGACGTTATGTACCTATCAAACGTTGGTATGTTAAGAATGATTTCTAATCGTAGAGATGTATTTGATCTCAAAAAAGTTGTTACCTTATCTAGCTCCGTGGGTAATGCTAATCGATACGCTACTTTTCCCACCTTCTCTAGGATGTCGTAGGGTCCGATGAACCTCGGGCTTAGTTTCCCTTTCTTCCCAAACCTCATTACGCCCCTTGTAGGAGAGACTTTGAGTAGAACTTTCTCCCCTACTTTGAAATCAGCTTGTTTCCTCCCAAGATCGGCATATGACTTCTGTCGGTCTTGGGCAGCCTTCATCTTCTCTTGGATGACTTTAACTTTCTCTATGGTATCTTGCAAGTATTGTGGTCCTAGAACCACTTGATCGACCATGTCACCCCAACATAAGGGACTTCTACACTTTTGACCATATAGAGCTTCGTACGGGGCCATTCTAATGCTAGCATGGTAACTGTTCTTGTACGAAAACTCTATTAAGTCTAGGTGCTCATCCCATGATCCTTGCAAATCAAGTACACATGCCCTCAACATGTCTTCTAATGTTTGGATTGTTCTTTCGGTCTGTCCGTCAGTGGTTAGATGGAAAGCGGTACTTAACTTCAATTTTGTTCCCATAGCCGTTTGTAATTCTTTCCAAAATTGGGATAAGAATCGTGAATCTCAGTCCGATACGATGTCTTGAGGTACTCCGTGGTGTTTAACCACGTGTTTGACATAGGCTTTCGCCAGTTTCTCCATGCTCCGAGTTTCGTTCATAGGAATGAATCTTGCAGTTTTGGTCAATCTATCCACTATCACCCAAATTTTATCTTTCCCGGACTTCGTTAAAGGCAAACCCCCGACAAAGTCCATCGAGATTGAATTCCATTTCCATGTTGGTACTTCCAAGGGTTGCACGAGTCCCTTGGGTTTGCATCTCTCTGCTTTGACTTTTTGGCAGTTCAAACATCGGGATACGAATTCAGCTACTTCCTTCTTCATTCCCGGCCACCAAAAGTTCTTCTTGAGGTCTTTGTATAGTTTGTCTCCCCCGGGATGTACCGAGTAGGGCGTGTTGTGTCCCTCATCCATGATTTGTTTTTTAATATATGCACACTTCAGTGGAACACACCACCTTCCCTTGTATCGGATGCTCCCATCTTCATGTATCTTAAATGGCCCGTTGACGCCATCTTTCATTCCTTCCTTGATTCTTTCGAGCTTTACATCTCCCGGTTGTCCGTTCTTGATTTCCTCGAAGATAGATGGTATAACAGTCATAGTACGTAACTGTATTTCACCATCTACTTCGCCATATTGCTTTACTTCCAAGCTCAATCTTTGGAAGTCTCGGAATAGTTCTTCTGGTAATATCCATGTTGCTCGGCATGAGTGCTCAGATTTCCGGCTCAAAGCATCCGCCACCACGTTAGCTTTTCCCTCGTGGTATTGGATTTCTAGATCGTAATCATTGATAAGCTCGAGCCATCTTCTTTGCCTCATGTTAAGCTCTTTTTGAGTGAATATGTACTTCAAGCTTTTGTGGTCAGTGTATATCTTACAATGTGCTCCGTATAGGTAATGTCTCCAGATTTTCAAAGCAAACACTACTGCAGCTAATTCCAGGTCATGGGTAGGATAATTGACTTCATGCACCTTTAGTTGTCTTGATGCATAAGCCACCACTTTCCTATTCTGCATCAGCACACACCCCAACCCCTTCTTGGATGCATCACTTTAGATATCAAATCCCTCCGTCCCTGACGGTAGTGTCAAGACCGGCGCAGTTGTGAGTCTTTTCTTCAACTCTTGGAATGCTGCTTCACAATCTTCATTCCATTGGAACTTGGTTGTCTTCTTTGTCAGGTTGGTTAGCGGTCTTGCTATCTTGGAAAAATCTTTAACAAATCTCCTATAGTATCCCGCTAGACCCAAGAAACTTCTTACCTCTGTGACCGAGGTAGGTGCACGCCATTCAACCACCGCTTCAATCTTCGATGGATCTACGGATACGCCTTCCTGGGTGATGATGTGACCCAAGAACGCTACCCGATCCTGCCAGAAGTCACACTTTGAGAGTTTGGCATACAACTGGTTCTCTCTCAAAGTTTGTAACGTGAGTCTCAAGTGTTTCTCGTGATCCTCCGGGGTTTTTGAATACACAAGAATATCATCGATGAATACCACCACAAATGTATCAAGATAAGGTCGGAATACACGGTTCATTAGGTCCATGAATACCGCTGGTGCATTTGTTAAACCAAACGGCATCACAGTGAACTCGTAGTGTCCATACCTCGTGCGGAATGCTGTTTTTGGTACATCTTTTTCGGATATTCTCACTTGATGATATCCGGAGCGCAAGTCTATTTTAGAGAACGTGCTCGCCCCCTTCAATTGATCAAACAAGTCGTCAATTCGGGGCAATGGATACTTGTTCTTGATAGTTGCTTGATTCAACTCTCGGTAATCGATGCATAGCCTTAGACTCCCATCTTTCTTTTTGACAAATAAGACCGGAGCGCCCCAAGGTGAGACACTCGGTCTTATGTACCCCTTCTCTAACAACTCCTCTAGTTGTTCCTTCAGCTCTTGCATTTCTTTCGGTGCCATTCGGTAAGGTGCTTTTGAAATTGGCGCGGTTCCGGGCATCAACTCAATTGAGAATTCAACTTCTCTCTCGGGTGGCATACCTGGAATCTCTTCCGGAAATACGTCCGGAAATTCATTGACTACGACAATTTGGTCAATGTTTGGTTCCCATGTATTCACCTCTTTCATAAAGCACATGTAGGTTTCATACCCCTTTCGGATATGTCGCTTTAATTGTTGCATAGTCATCAGCTTCATACTAGGCTTGGATGTGACTGCTTTGTAAGATATTCGCTTCCCATTTGGACCCTTCAAGATTACCTTCTGTTCATCACAGAGGATCCTGGCTTTGTATTTCCCCAACCAATCCATGCCCGGTACTATGTCTATATCTTTTAAGTCAAATTGGATTAAATCTCCATGTAGGTTGGATTCAGATATGAGTATGGAAATGTTGGAGTATACATTTCCACAAGTTACAAATTTATCCGAGGCGGTTCTTACATTCAAGTCTATTCTAGCAGTTGGTTCAATCTTCAATTTCTTAACGAAACTAGAAGATATGAAACTGTGAGAAGCACCAGAATCAAATAGAACATAAGCAGGCTCAGAATTTACAAGGAATGTACCTGAAACCACATCATTAGCATTGGCTTGGGCCTGATTCATCACCATGATTCGCCCTTGGTTTGGATGGTTGCCGTTGTTTCCGCCATTTCCATTGTTCCCGCCATTGCCATTGCCACGATTATTCTCCCCTCCTCCTCGAGGGTTGCGGTTGTTGTTGTTGGCGGCGGCATTGTTGTTGTTATTTTGTCCTCCATTTGGCCCAACTTGGTTCATATCTGGTCTTCCTCCATCACGGTATTGCACCTGGTTCACTGGTGCCCCATTGGTCTTTGACAGACACTCGAAGGTTCGGTGCCCTAGCTTCCCACAATTGAAACATTTTGTCAGGCTTCCATCGCAGTTAACACCGGGATGATCTCTCCCGCACCTCTTGCAGTAGAAGTGCCTATCTCTGGGAGCAGCTCTTCGATCATTTTGTTGGTTTTGACCGTGGAAATTTCTTCCACCTTGTTCATCTCTCCTCCTCCTCCCTTCTTGTTGCTGTGTAGGTGGGTGCACTCGGATCCTCTTCTCTCCTCGACCTCCATCTTCGTCCCTCTTCATCTTCTGGTTCCTCTCTCTTTGTAGTTGCTGAACTCGATAGTGAACTGCAGCTCTATCATAAGCATCAGTTAGAGTTTGGCAACCCAAAACAGCGACAATTTTCTGTGTATCATAGTTTAGTCCACAGATAAATTTCTCGACTTTGGTGCTTTCATCAGGTACTATTGTTTTCGCAAATGGTGCGAGGTCCACGAATTTATTGTGATATTCCTGGACACTCATGTTCAACTGTTTCAAATGTATGAATTCATCACGCATGGTGGCCTGAACGTGTGCAGGATAAAAACGTTTCCTCATGGCAATCTTGAAAGCTTCCCAATTGAAGTTGGGTTCTTGACGTAGAGTTGGGCCTGATGAGACCCACCAGTTATCCCCCTCTTGCTGTAAGTAGTAAACAGCAATGTCAACCCTTTGCTCTTCCGGACAGCTCACTGCATCGAAGAGCTTGTCAAAGAGTCGGAGCCAATTCTCGAGGATACGAGGATCTTCTTGCCCATGAAAGCTTGGAGGGTTGCGAGATGCCACTCGTTTTGCGGCATCATTCCCATTGTTCTGGTTTTGATTGTTCTGGAGCACAGTAGCACCCAGTGTGTGCATGAATTGTGCCAGTTGTTGAACGGTTTGTGCCAACTCAGCATTGGTGGGTGTGTTATTAGGGTCTCTTCTCGGTGCCATGCTTCTTAATGATACAAAGTATTCGTGTAAGAATTTCTATATTTTACTCTTAAGGATCCTAGTTCAACTAAGGATTCCATAGGCTATATACAACATGATCATATAAAAATCGTACATGACAATCATTCAGAGAATACATACTTCACATAAGAACACTTTCGCACATAATGTTTGTACATACCTTAGCCACTTTGGATTTTTTGCCTTATGAGGCATTCCCTTCAACATTTGGGGTTTCCATTTTTCTTATGGGCTCGAAATTAGCACAATTATCACATACATGCAAGGAAAAGAAATACTCACGAGCTCACCACGATCCTAAATTTGTTGCAAAATATTTCCTGGAAACATTTATTATTCCTAAGTTTCTTCTTTTTGAAATGTACGTATTTAGAAAATCTAATAAAATATTGGAAACTCTTTTTGAAAACCATAGTCAAGAAAATTTTTATTTGAAAATCCCCAATTTGAAAACCATAGTCTCTGATACCAACTTGTAACACCCCCATTTTTCCCACCAAAATAAAATAACATTTTGAAATGAAAACATCTTTATTATAAAACATATTTACAGTACAGCGGAAGTCTTTAATGGAAAAACAGGTGTGTCACCGCCACACTCAACCTATACATGATTGAGTGCACAGGCTATCCACCATAAATTCAAGTAGCCATCGGATAAAACTTAAAACAAGTTTATGGATTACAATTTTAACAACAATAATTAATCAAACGTGTGCAACTAGCGGAACACTCGGGCAGCAAGTACATCAATCTTCATAATCATAATCATCTGTACAATAGAGCAAAGAGAAAAAAAAGAAAAGAGACAAAAATTAGCTTTAGAGCTAAGTAAGATTCCACCCGAACCCGTAAAATAATATAATTTGGAAAATAGGTTTTTATATATGTATATATATCGAAAAGTAGTCTCTCATATTTCCAAAATGGTTTAATGTCATAAAATAATTTCCACAATAGATAAGATCATCCTTCAATTCCTCCAAAAGTAATACTTTAGATTCTTTTAAGAGTGGGCGAAACTCAAGATTCCTCGAGCCCAATGAGTCGTTGTTATCTACGAATCATCCCGGAATTCCGGCTCCCACCGACCACCAATTGGAAGCTGAATTTCTACCTTAAGTGTGCACACTCTCTAAAAGGGATTCCAAGCCCTCCGAGTAGTAAGAAACCCAAGTAGGCAGGATGTTTTCTACCACCTACTCACAAGGGACATTGTCCAAGGGTAAATTAGGTAACTACTACTACGACCACCAAAGGATCTTTGATCCTCAAATAAAAGCCCGGGATGTCTACCGGAGTATGTCATTGCCGGGCTGGTTACCGACCCAAATAAATTTCACCAAAAGTAGTAGTAGCCCTAACCACCCACGCCTCGTGTTTCTCTCGAGACGTAAGAATATATATTATGAAAACTTTAAGTTTTCCCCAAATCATTCTTGTCACATTTTCTCAAAATATCCTTTGTAATAAATATAAATCCACCAATATTCTTTAATACAAAGAATATACATTTAATCATCCATAAAAGGTAATAATCCACCAATATTCATAACGTAATAATATCGGATCCATGTCAAACATATAATTTCCAATTCATAATTAATTCACATAGTGCAAATATTACATACATATAAATATGAGGCAAAACATTTTGGTTGACATAGAACTTACCTTAAATTGCGATAATCTCCTTAATAAAATCTCTAGCTTGGTCTTCACTTGAGTTCTCCTTCTAATATTGATCAACATTCTAAATTAATAACTATTCTATTATTTTGTTATTTGTTATATATCCAACCTTTTAATTATTTTAATTTCATAATTTTTTTTTAAATATAACTATTAAATTAAATTCATAAACCTTACTAAATGTTAATTTCCAGTCCAGCCTTATTATTTCTTTAACTATACTAACCCCTTAATAATTTTATTTAATTTATTTGGTTAATTAGTTAACTAGTCTAATTAGTTTAATTATATAATAATTTCATTATTTCGAATTAACTAACTAACATTATTCCAAATTTCAGTTTACATGATTTAAGTAATTTATTTATAAAACCTTCAAATAAAAACTTTGCGTAAGCAATAATTAAAAATAGTAATCATTAATGATAATCTAATTTCAATAACCACTTTAATTATTTCAATGTTTTATTTATACTAACTAGTTCAATTATATTAACTAATTCAATAATACTGATATGTCAAATCCTATGACTCTATTTATTCGAATAATTAATTAAGCTAACTTAATTAACTAAGTTGGGTTAATTATATTAATTAATATAGTTAAGTATATTAATCTAAATCATTAAAGGCCAATAACCAAAACCTACTTTCATTTTAACTTGTCTAATAAGTCCAACCATATTAGATATTACCAAGTCCGTATTTTAGCTAATTTAGTCATTAAACTGAGCAATAAACTAGTTTAATTATTACTACCATATTACTTAATTAACTTATATATACTAATCCACTACATTTGTAAGTTTAAATATTTTAGTAATTCATGTTAAGTCTGAATTATAATCATCAAGCATAATAACTATATTAATTTCATTAAACTAGTTTAATCGTTTATTAATTCAATAATGCTATTTATTAAGTCCAAATATAGCCAGTAGTGTATTTATATCCGTTTACTTGTTTAATGTGCCCCATTAGTCCATTTAGTTAGCCAATCTGATCTATTTAATTAACCAATTAATATAATCAACTAAATTCCATATTTTATATAATTGACTACTTTTTAATTTAATGTCTCATTTAAATTGAGTAGTTAACATATTCAGTCCAAATATAGGTGTACACTATGCGGCCCAATTTTAGATTGGATCAAAGAATCGGAAATCTTCATGTGTCGTCTTCTTCAACTATACGCCGGAAAAGCAAAGTTATGGTGATATACCTTTCTGAAGACCGACGAGTGGAACGGCTGCGGCAGTGGAATCTTTCTTAGACGGCAAAGGTCAGCAGTGGACTTGTGGTCTTGCGACGGCAGTAGCTCCTTCTCCTCCGTTTCCCGTCGTGAAGCTTAGCCCGGCAGAAATTCCGGCGAGCTTGTTCTCCCTCGTTTGACGATAGTTTTCAATGATTCATCTTTCGTTGGATTCCTCTAACGGAGGGAAAGGTTTTGATGGTGTTTATACCTCTGGTTTTAGGCTGAAACGAAGGCTGCGTTTTTCGCATATACACGTATATGTATATATTTTTAAAGCTGGGTTCTGAATGAAAGAATTCTAAGGTTTGAGACTGGTATTTATACAGGTATTCTTGAGAATTGCAGGTTATACTTTGAGCTTATCGAATGATTGTGTGTCGAGTAGGAGTATGGGCGGTCGAAGGTGTACTGCTATGTAATAGTTTTCTGATTTGGTTTACATGCCTTTATTCATAAATGAGGCCGGCTGGGTTAGTGTTGTTGCTAAGGTGTACAGTTGTTGCTACTAGTATTATAACATTATTATACGAAGTATTCCTTTATCGTTTTGTAGTATTATTTACTTGATAATTTATGTAGCCCGCTGGGTTACGTGTATATATATTATTGATGTACTATTTCTATACCATTATTGTTATTACTGTACTAACATTATTATGTTCCTCGGCTCCTATATTATTAGGTAGATATTATAATGCATTCCGTATATGAATATCACGGTTGAAAGGTCAACATATTTGTGTGGTATTTAATATTTCCTCCGTTTTTTTTGTAACGGTCAATGTTTCACACCTGTCAACGCACGTCTTTGACCGTAATTATATGTTAATCTGTATTAGTAAAAAAAACATATTTGAAAATGAAATAAGTACAAAAATATGACCAAAATAAAGATGGTTTACAAAAATATGATTCATTACTAGAGTAGTAATGAAATCATAGTAATTTATGTTCAAGTTTTGAACTTTAGTTACCACAGCACTACGTTGTAGTAATGAATAGTCATATTTATGTAAATAAGTTTTATTTTAGTAATATTCTCGTAAAAAACCCTTTGAAAATTAGATTTTGAAAATTTGTAATGAGATGAATTGAACAATATTTTTTTTAAAAAAAAAATAATTTTCATAAAATAAAAATGTAGTCAAAGTAGAACATGTGAATAGTGAAAAATTCAACATGTTGCGATTAAAAAGAGATGAAGGATAGTACATTTTTGTATTCATTATTAGTTCGTACTTTTGAACTAACATTATAATATTCTAATATTTATTTTTGTTTACTTGTCAGATATATTTTATCTGGTTTATTTTTATTTTATTTTTGTTTAAATTTTTCAGGGTATTACATTTTCAGGGTATTACAGAAGTAGTCGATTGCGACGATGATGTATCTGTTGTTGCCTGCAGCTCTTGGTAGTGGGCCGACGAGGTCGATGCCCCATCGGGAAAATGGAATGGCAGTGCTGACCGGGGCGTAGTTGACGGCTGGTCGGCCAGGTGCCCTTTGATAATGTTGGCATGCGCTGCATTTGCGGGCAACCTCCGCACAATCGCGTGCCATCGTCGGCCAAAAGTAGCCTTGGACGACGAGGCGGCGTGACATGCTGAAGGGCCCCTGATGTGATGAGCAGACGCCGCAATGTACTTCTTCCATGGCCACTTCGGCCTCATTCTGGTGGAGGCACCGGAGGAGGGTGCCGTTGTATGAACTTTTATAGAGCTTGTCTCCCTCGATGACATAGCTTGGCGCCCTGAGTTTGGCAAGTTTGGCCCTCTCCTCGTCTTCAGGTAGTGTGCCGGAGGTGATGTAGGTTGCGATGTCAGTGATCCAATCCTCCGGCTGGTGTTGTATGGAGAGTATAGGTCTAGCGTGAATGCTTGACATGCTCAACTCCTCCACCTTAGCTATCTTGGAGATGTGCTCAGGGGTGTCGGAGCTGAGTTTGGAGAGTATGTCGGCCTCGGCGTTCTCCGCCCTTGGGATCTGTGTGATCTCGTAGGTATCGAACGCCTTGAGCAATTCCGCGGCGGCCTCCTTGTATTGCTTCATCCTCCCCTCTTTGGCTTCGTAGGAGCCCTCCATCTGGTTCACTACGAGTTTGGAGTCGCATCTGATTCTGATGTGGCGCGCTTTGAGGCCAGCGGCTAGTCTGAGCCCGCTGAGGAGCGCTTCATACTCGGCCTCATTGTTGGATACTTTGAAATTAAAGCGGATGGCGTAGTATGCTCTGAATCCTTCTGGGGAGATGAGGACGCCCCCCCCACAAGCTTTGGTGGCTGAGGACCCGTCCGTGTAGAGGGTCCAGGCTTCGTCTGGTTCAGCTCCTGTGGTGGTGACGGCCGTCTCCCTTGCCGTGCACTCGGTGACAAAGTCAGCCAAGGCTTGCCCTTTGATAGATGGCCTCGGCTTGATCTCAATCTGGTATTGGCTCAGGAATATTGCCCACTTGGTCATCCTTGGGGAGCTGGTTGGGCTCCTCATGAGGGCGCCCAACGGCTGATGCGTGAGGACATGGACGAGGTGAGCCTGAAAATAGTGCCCCAGCTTTTTCACTGTGTGGACGATGGCCAGCACCGTCTTTTCAATGGGGGAGTACCTGAGCTCGGCCTCCCGTAACGTCTTGCTGACGTAGAATATTGCCTTTTGTACCCCGTCATCCTCCCTGATGAGTACGGAGCTGATGGCCGACGTGCTCACTCCTAAGTAAAGGAAGAGAGTCTCGCCGGGTTAGGGCTTGGATAGGACGGGTGGGGAGGCGAGATATTGCTTCAGTTCGTCAAAGGCTTGTTGGCACTCCGTCGTCCATTTGAAGCTGGCGGCCTTCCTCATTATTTGAAAGAAGGGGAGCGATTTTTCCGCGGATTTTGAGAGAAAACGGTTCAGGGCCGCGAGGCATCCTGTCAGCCGTTGCACCTCGTTTATGTTACGGGGCGGCTCCATGTTGATAATGGCTTGTATCTTTTCGGGGTTTACTTCGATGCCACTTCGGCTGACCAGGTACCCCAAGAATTTACCTCCCTGGACGCCGAAGGTGCATTTCTTCGGGTTGAGCCGGAGGTTATACCTCTTCATGATCTCGAAGATGCCCCGGAGGTCGTCGGCGTGAGTTGTGGATTGTTTGCTCTTGACGATCATGTCATCGACGTATGCTTCCATTGTCCGGCCTAAGACTGCCCTAAAAATCCGGGCTACCATTCTTGTATAAGTGGCGCCGGAATTCTTGAGCCCAAAGGTCATGACGAGGTAGCAAAAGATTCCCTCCGGGGTCATAAAAGCAGTCTTCTCCGAGTCATCTTCATGCATGGATATCTGGTGGTACCCTCTGAACGCGTCAAGGAACGACATCAACTCGCACCTTGCTGTCTCGTCCACCAACTGATCAATGTTGGGGAGAGGGAATGGGTCCATTGGACACGCCTTGTTCATGTCGGTGTAATCGACGCACATTCTGAACGTGTGCGGTTTTGGTGCGAGGACGACGTTCGCCAACCACGTGGGGTACTTCACCTCTTTGATGTGCTTGATGGATAGCAGCATGGCCACCTCGGCCTTGACGAATTCTCTCCTGTCGGCTGAGAGGTAGCGCTTCTTCTGTTTGATGGGGGAGGAAGCCGGGTCGACTGAGAGTCGGTGTGTAATCACTTTTGGGCTGATACCCGGCATGTCCTCTGGTCCCCATGCAAAGACGATGGCGTATGCTCTCAAGACAGAGAGAATGTCACTTCGGATCTGTTGGGGGAGCTGTGTCCCGATCTTCAGCATTCGTTCCGGCTGAAAGATGTCCAACGGAACTTCTTCCACGTCCCCGACCGGTTCGGCCTTGGGTGAGTCTTCTTCAGCCGAGGCGGTGGTGATAGTGTCTATCCGCTCCTCGGCCTCATTAATCTTCCTTGTGAGCTTGAGGTAGCAAGCCCTGGCTATCTTCTGATTTCCTCTGGCATAGCCGACGCCGTCCTTGGTGGGAAACTTGAGGCATAAATGTTTCATCGAGATGATGGCCTCAAGGTCCTCCAAGGCCGGTCGGCCCCAGATCATGTTGTGGGCGCTGTCCAAGTTGACGACCACGAACTCCACGTCAATCTTTGCCTGATAGGTACCGTCACCGACCACAACGGGAAGCACTATCGTGCCCTCGGCGTCGATAGAGTCCCCGGTGAAGCCGGATAACGGGGTCCGTATCGGCCTGAGTTTGGTCTTCTTCAGCTTTAGTTGTCTGAAGGTATCAACATACATCACATTGACGGAACTGCCGGTGTCGATGTAGTTGCGGTGGATGATGTTGTTGCCGATCTCGCATTTGACGACGAGGGCGTCTCTGTGGGGCAAGGGGCCGAAGGGGAGGTCCTTGTCGGTGAAGGTGATGTCCTCCACGTGCCGTCGCTTCGGCTGAGGGGGGGCGTGGGACACCTCACCAACGTATAGGGACTGAGCCCATTTTTTCCGTTGGGTAGCCGAGTCCCCCCCTGTGTTCCCGCCGACGATGATGTGGATGTGATGTTTCTTCTGGCGGGGCTCTTCTTCGTCCTCATCTTCACTGAGGGCGCCGATCTCCCTCTTTTTCCCGGAGGATCCTTCCCCCCTTTTGCCAGGGTTAACCCAAGTGTTACTCTTGGGGGCACCCTTGACAAATTGGGAAAGTTCCCCCTGTCGGACGAGGCCGTCGATGTGCCTCTTCAGGGTGGTGCAATCCTCGGTCTTGTGGGATGTCTGGCGGTGGTACTTGCAATTTGTCCCTCCTTTGTGGACTGCAAATATCTCCTCCTCTGACCTGGAGTCCTTCACAATGAGGCCTTGTGCCTCAGCGTGGTCAAGGACGACGCTCACCAGGTGGGTGAGGGGGATGCGTTGTGCCTCCAACTTTGGACGCCATGAGCGATCCTCCCTTCGCTGTCCGCCTGGCTCCTGGTGTGCCTTCTTCTGCTGGCTCTGTCCCTTGTTGGCCAGCGTGTGGTGGGGGTTGGACGAGGAGTCCTTCTTCTGTTGCTTCTCCCCACCCTTCTTCTGGTTCAGGAGCTCGTCGGCATCAGCGTGCCTGTCTCCGCGTCGGAGCGCCGCGAGATATGACCGCGGGGCTCCGTGAACAGACTTCGGGCGAAGTGGCTCGGCCGAAGTGCTCCGCGGAGGAAGGCCAGGAGGGTACGTTCATCGGCTCCTTCGCACTCGTCCGCCTCCCTCGTCCAGCGATCGAGGAAGGCTCGGAGCGTCTCCTCCGATTGTTGTTTAATGGTCAGGAGATGGGCGAAATGCTTCTTCGCACGCTTCCTCCCGGCAAAGTGGGTGAGGAAGCGCTGAGCTAGGTCCTGCCATGAGTCAATGCTCCCTTCCGGAAGGTTGTTGAACCAATCGTACGCTGGTCCTTCCAAGGTGGAGAGGAACCAGCGACACATGTATTCTTCCGAAGCGTTGGTCATCATCATATTGTTCTGGTAGCGGGTGAAGTGCTCCTGGGGATCAGTGCGGCCGTCATATGGCTTGATCGGGTTCCCCTTGTACTTTTCTGGGATGGGGGCAGAGAGCACCCTCACAGAGAAGGGGGTCCTGGTCCGTATCTGAATGACGGGTTCGTCGCGCCGGTCGGCTAACTCTCTCTCCAGAGCACTGACCTTGTTTATAAGTGCATCATAATTGGGATGCTGGAATGTATTGGCCGCCGCGCGTCCCGCGGCTTCCCGAGCCTCCATGTCAGCGAGGCGCTTTTCTAGGCGGGCAATGATCTCGTCCCTTGGGTCCGTGTTGGCCGCAGCGCCACCCAGCGGGGTCTGGATTCGGGCTGCGTGGGCCAGGTTGATCTGGTGACGCGCGTCATCGTCATCCAGCTTTTCTTTGCCTTTGTCAAGTCGGGGCCGATCCGTCGTCCGGGAAACGGACCCGAAGCTTTCCTTTGGTGATCCCGGCTCGCGGTCACCCAACCGATCCGCCACCCTTCCCGCAGGTACCTGACGGCTCGCGATGTCACCCAGCCTGTTGAAGGCCGAGATTTTACCGCGAGGTTGGGCCGGTGT